TTTTATCGGATATGCAATAAATAGTAGTGCGTACAGATTTCTTGTGCATAAATCTGATATAAGTGACATTCATGTCAATACAATTTTTGAATCTCGAGATGCTGAATTCTTTGAAGATGTGTTCCCTAATAAAAGAGATATTCGTGAGAATACTCTAAAGAGAACACGAGATAATGCTATTGAAAACAATATAGAACCTGAATCAAGAAGGAGTAAAAGAGCAAAGGTCGCTAAATCCCTTGGTCCAGACTTTATTTCTTTCCTAATTGAGAAAGAGCCCCAAACATTTAAAGAAGCTGTGACTAGTCCAGAATCCGTATTCTGGAAGGAAGCTATAAATAGTGAAATTGAATCTATTATGAATAATAATACTTGGCAATTGGTTGATCTTCCTAAGGGAACTAAACCAATAGGATGCAAATGGATCTTTAAAAGAAAGTTAAGATCTGATGGTTCAATAGACAAATACAAGGCTCGACTGGTTGCAAAAGGATATCGTCAGAAAGAAGGAATTGATTTCTTTGACACATATTCTCCAGTAACAAGAATTACTTCTATTCGGGTTTTAATTGCTACTGCAGCCTTGTACAACTTACAAATACATCAAATGGATGTTAAGACTGCATTCTTGAATGGTGATTTAAACGAAGAAGTATATATGGAACAGCCAGAAGGTTTCATAGTGAAAGGACAAGAAAACAAAGTTTGCAAACTAGTTAAGTCCTTATACGGTTTGAAGCAAGCTCCTAAACAATGGCACGAAAAGTTTGACAGCGTCATGATTAGGAATGGATTCGTCATAAATGGATGTGACAAATGCGTATATTCGAAAAAATTCGAAAAGGCATACGTACTCGTCTGTTTGTATGTTGATGACATGCTTATATTAGGGACTAATATAGAAGTCATCAATAGAACAAAGAATATACTAACCAATAACTTTGACATGAAAGATATGGGTGAAACAGACGTGATTCTAGGAATAAAGTTATCTAGAACATCAAATGGAATAGTCTTATCTCAAACCCATTATGTTGATAAAATAATTGAGAGGTTTAAGACTCATAATATTAAAGAGACGAGTAACCCATTTCTTCCACATATAGTTCTTCACAAAAATAGTGGAAATGGGAAATAGCAGTTAGAATATTCCCAAATTATTGGTAGTTTAATGTACCTGATGAACTGTACAAGACCTGATATAGCTTACTCGGTAAGTAAGCTGAGTCGTTACACAAGTAATCCAAGTAATCAACATTGGGATGCATTACTTAGAGTTTTGGGATACTTGAAACGGACCAGAGAGTATTCATTACATTATGGAAAATATCCTCCAGTAATTGAAGGATATAGTGATGCCAATTGGATATCAGATACAGACGAGTCAAAGTCTACCAGTGGCTATGTATTTACTCTCGGTGGTGGCGCTATATCATGGAAATCTTCTAAGCAAACGTGTATAGCTCGATCTACTATGGAATCTGAATTTATTGCTTTAGACAAAGCAGGAGAAGAAGCAGAATGGTTAAGACATTTCATAGAAGATATTCCTATATGGCCAAAGCCTGTACCGGCTATCTGTATTCATTGTGATAACCAGGCCACAATAGCCAGGGCTGAAAATTTTGTGTATAACGGTAAGTCGAGACATATACGTCACAGACATAACACCGTTCGGCAGTTTCTCTCAAATGGAACAATATCAATTGATTTTGTTAAGTCAAAAGAAAACCTAGCGGATCCGTTCACTAAAGGGTTATCTAGAGAGCGTATAGACTGCGCATCGAGGGAAATGGGTTTAAAGCCTAAAACACAATGAGTCATCTTAGTGGAAACCTAACCTGGCAACTGGAGATCCCATGGATTAGGTTCAATAGGAAAACTAATTATGAATGACTCGATAAGAAGCTCTTAGGAGTTTAACTCCTTCCCATTTCTATGATGCAAAAAGTGCTATGAAGTGTATTAAGGAAAAGCTTTGCTTTTAATGATGACTATAAATGGTACAAGTAATTATAGTAGGGTACTCTTTATAGTGCATCACCTATGTTAGTGCGAACTTGGCCGGTTCTATGAGAATTTACTTAGGCGAATTCTCTAAAGCACTCGCAGAACCCAAGTAGTTCAGGGCCGAAATAATGAACACAATAGAGAACCAAGTTTGATATGAGAGATAATGTGTTTGGTCTGTTGTCTGAGCTTGCAATAACGGCTGACAGTTCAAAACGTTACGTTCACTGATTAGCCAAGTGAGTTCGATAGATTCTTACTAAAGAAGGTTCAAAGCGAAAGCTACCTATCTTGATGCGTTATCTTTCAGATAGTACTCTTCTTTCTTCTTCCTTGATTTGAGTCGACTTCTTCCATTCATGTGGGGGATTGTTGGAATTAATTGAATTTGTTTAGGTTTGATTTGGGTTTAAAATATTAAATGTAATATTTAATGATATGGGTCATTGCAATTAATTTGAGTGAATTGGAAAAGTCTCCAATATAGGCCCATATGTTGATAAGCCCATTTTAAGTGGTTTTTATATGGAAAGGAGTCCCACATCGAAAGTTTACAAGAAAATAGTCTTGTTTATATAGTGGGTTGTGTAAATAATATATAATTTAATATGTTACCTACCACTTGGCTAACTTTAGCTAGCCAAAGGCTAGTCACCACTAGAGTGGTGCTTCGCACCACTAGCACCGTTCCCCGGACCCGGTCCCGGTCCCGACACGCGCACGTCGCAAAGTACGCATTGGACGCTTTAGAGGCGCACTTGGCATTCTAGGTGGCACACGAGTGGTAGGTCGCGTCCCTTCGTCCTGCATGGCGGTTAGATGTACGCGTGGCATCCGTATGGCTGTGACTGTTCAGAAATTGGTGAATAGGCATGATGAATGGACACTTCACTTCATGGTTCAATCTGGGCCGTCAGATCATAAAAATAGTGCGATCCAATGGCTAAGACGAATCAGACCAAGTGGTGCACCAGTTCCTGAAATGTCACACACCTGTTCCATGAGACACTTCAATCTCTATAAATAGGGACCCCCAGATTCGTTTTTTGACACACCAAATCAATTACGAATTCAATTGATTTCTAAATTCTTCTATCTCCATATTCTGCTTGTAAAAAATCTCTTATAGTTTTCGGAAATGGACTCGTGGTTCGATGACGTGGCAGCACAAGGCTCGGTGAGTTGGCATTCTAGGTGGCGCACGAGTGATAGGTCGCGTCCCTTCGTCCTGCATGGCGGTTAGATGTACGCGTGGCATCCGTATGGCTGTGACTGTTCAGAAATTGGTGAATAGGCATGATGAATGGACACTTCACTTCATGGTTCAATCTGGGCCATCAGATCATAAAAATAGTGCGATCCAATGGCTAAGACGAATCAGACCAAGTGGTGCACCAGTTCCTGAAATGTCACACACCTGTTCCATGAGACACTTCAATCTCTATAAATAGGGACCCCCAGATTCGTTTTTTGACACACCAAATCAATTACGAATTCAATTGATTTCTAAATTCTTCTATCTCCATATTCTGCTCGTAAAAAATCTCTTATACTTCCCTCGATATTCCGTTCAAGTACGATCATTCATTGGTTCGACCGACAAGGTTGGTATTGTGCAGTATCGACTTTGGAAGGAGCGTTGCATCTTGGGAGACAGACGTCCATAATCCCGTTTGCACTTCATTGGGGGGCGAAATCTGTCTTAAGGAGATTTGCTTACTTTATTGGCATACCTCACTTCATTTACTGTCTATTTTTCTGCTTATTTTATTTCTTCTTTTGATTACGTTAGTCGAATTTCCGACAACAATAATGAAGAAGAATTTCAAGTTTCTTGGGATAATATGATTAAAAAGTTTGACCTTGAGAGTCACTCATGGCTAAAGAAATTGTACTCACTGTGAGGAAAGTGGTGTCGTGCTTTTAGTTTGGATACATTTTCAGCAAATATAAAGTCCACCCAAAGGAGTGAGAGCACAAATAATATTTTTCATCAAATTTCTACCAAGACAATGGACCTTGTTAATTTTGTACATCACTATGAGAAGAAAATAGAGGAAATGCGTTTGGCTGAGTTGGAAGATGATTATCGATGCAAACATGGTGTTCCTCGTTTGTCCATAAGGTGTGGTATTTTAAGTCATGCAGTTAATGTATATACCCCAAAAATGTTTAGTCTTTTTGAAAAGGAGCTAACGGGCTGTATTGGAGTGAGGATGAAAGAAGTGTGTAGAGATTATGAATTTTACACATATGAAGCAATTGAAGAAGGTCAACAAAGAGCGCACAAACTCCACTACAATCCCCTTACATTCGATGTTTTTTGTTCATGCAAGTTATTTCAATCGTTGGGGATTTTATGCCGACATGCTTTAAAGGTGTTCGATTTGAATAATCTCACTAGCATACCAACACAATTCATAATGAAAAGGTGGACTAAAGAGGCAAAGAAAGGAATTGCCGCAAGTAACGACAAAAGTGACTTGTCGATAATGGCAAATGATGAGAAATCTTCCAAGTCATTACGCCTTAGTGAGTTGATGCACGAAGGAAATAATGTCTATAATGTTCCCTCAATGACAATTTCGGGAACAAAGATTGTCAAAGAAAAGTTAGCGCAAGCAATAAAGTTACTTGAAAAGGATGAGGAAACTATCAATGTGCTTCAGAAGTTTAGAAAAGATGATGATCATTTTACTTGTTATGCTCTTGTGGATGAGCCACGAATATTAAATCCACCAACTGTGAAAGCCAAAGGAACAACAAATGCAAGATTAAAAAGCACTTTGGAGAAAAGAAAAAGGAAGGCAAAGAAAGGTAATAAATATAATAATTTTATTTTTTTATTACAATTATTACCCTTATTCAATTCTTAAATAATATATGATTTTTTTTGTCACTTATGATGATTACATTTGGCTTATAGTTGGAGAAGACAATCGTCAAAAAAAGGGTGACACGCCTTACCCAACATTCTCGCCTACGATGACTACCTTTACCCCATTTATTCATCATCTAGCTCCCGAGCATTCAAATTTTCACCTTTCAAGCATGCTTCAAAGCCACAACAATATGCATTACTTGACTAAGGTATTATTATTATTATTATTATTATTATTATTATTATTATTATTATTATTATTATTATTATCAGTTAATGACTTATTTTTTTGCAGGATCCAAGCTATTATAATTTTGATGATCTACATAGAAAAGATTAATGACTATGTAGTGGAAGTTTTGATATGAGACTGGTACGAGCTTTATTAAATAAAATGCATTTGATGAAGTTATAAGCTTTGTATCAATGAATTTGATTTGTAAATTTGTTTTATCTGTTTGTTTACACTTTTCAGGTGATTGAAGTTATTGTAGAAGATAAAAAAAAGGGGTTTATGATGTAATTATTTTGCTAAATTTCCACATATAAACTGAGATGGATTATGATGATTTTTTGGACAATTTTAAATATTGGCTTCTTTAATGAAATATTTTTGCTTTAACATTATTGTATATTAAAACCAAAAAAAAAAGCCGAAAACACGTCTCCGTGTCATGGAGACAAGTGCCTCCATGTCACGGAGGCATAGATATATAGAAAATCCTAAGCCAACCTATGTCATTCCAATTTAAGAAGTTGAATATTCTCTGTCGGTAATTTGACATTTCTATAGAACATAAATAATAAAAACACTCATGATTAAGGTTAATGCAGCTTTAACTTGCCGTAATTACGAAATTAACAGCAGAAAGAGTAAAAACTTATACAAGCCTCCGTGATATGGAGGCACTTGCCTCCGTGTCATGGAGATGCAATGTGTTTTCATGTTTTTTTTTTTTTGGTTCTACACATATGTCAGTCCAAAAAATGATGCTCATAGGAATTAATGAATTTAACCATCTCATGCACTTTCCTTTAACATGTGAGGAAATAGGCACAGTTGATAGGCATCTACAAACATGCCTTTGTGGTTCATCATCTCGCAAAGTATTAAAAATACTTGAATATGTTCGTGAGGATTTTCTGTTGATCTCCCAAAGAACCTAATGTTTTATGATTCTGAAATAAATTGATGACATTAGGTCTAATATGGAAGTTGGTCTATCTAAAAGGTGATTATATGATAGGTGGTTGCAAAGGAGCCGGAATGGGATTTATATAGTTCCCCATTAAAGTTTTTCATTGATCTGTTACTGCCCTGGCTGATCTAGTTGAGGTAGTGGTAAGGGGTTCTAAATCTAATTTTGATGTTGATTTTCTATCGTTTCTCTCACTTGTCTCTACTCTCTTCTTCGCTGTGTAATTTTTTTTTTTTTTTTTTTTGTTTTTATGTTTTTTTTTTTTTTTTAATCAAGTTTTATGGGTTTTTTTTTCTTGGCAGCCAGCTCCTTCCTGGCTGCGCGAGCAACTTAAATTTTTTTTTTTTTTTTATTAAGTATGAGATCAATTTTTTCCTTTTTTTTTTTTAAAGTGCATTGCACAAAATTTTTTTACCCGATAAATCGTACACTTAAGATATTGTACAAAAATTTGTCAAAATTTGTGTACAATTTAACATGTTTGTTTATCGATTTGTTTAACTTTAATGTCCTTGTATTATCGTAACTTACTATGCTTGAACGTGGTTCCAAAATGCATTGTCTAACAAATAATTTTTTAGTTTGCCAATTCAAACAGTGGATGCAAAATTCACCATAATTCGAGACCACTTATTTGTTAAGAACTATTATAATATATGTTCTAGTTTGGCTTAAAATTATATTCAAGACCACTTCTTTGCTTCTTTAAAAAGGGATTTCTAGTCACTTTTCAAAAGAATAAAATACAAAAGGAAAAATATTTAAGAACAAAAAAATATAAAACAGACGAACTAATGTAAAAGGAGAGAGAAAAAGTGGAAGACAAAAGAGAAAGAGAGAGAGACGGCAACTGCATTAACGCTAGTGTACTTTTCATTAAAAAATGCACAATTTGACAATATCAACTTTATTGTACACATGTCACTGGATGATGGGGTGAGCATATCACATGGGATGGTATGCCTGCCCCACACAAGATTTTCTCCATTTTGAGTTGTGCCACGTATTGGCTCTTATGGTGACTTGTTCACTTGACGAATTTGAATGTAGCTTATTCCTGTTAGTTATTTCGTTAAAGGTGAGTGTGATCTTCATTCGTTGATAAAGAATTCAACTTGATCTACTTTTAAGTGGTGTAACATCTAGCTCAAGGACTTGATTCAGTAAGTTTCTCTCTTCTCAAATTTTCAATTTTAACACATGGGACATATTTTACAAAGTTTTCCCAACGCTTCTTCCAGCTTGAAAAGGTGTTGCCTTGAAAAGTTTGCAGTGATTACCCCTACGAGTGGGACAATGTCTTTGTCTGCATATTCAATACCTTTTGGCAAAATTTAGAAATAATTTATAAATGATCAAACTTCATTTTCAATCATACATTTTAATGGATTCATAAGTACTATTCACTTGTTCATTATTTATTTTTATTTATTTATAAATTCTTCCCAACCAGAGGCTTATTAGGCCACTATTATCGAAGCTATGTGGAATGACGATCTAATCTTCTTCTTCTTTTTTATGGTTTTCGCTCTTAGTTGGGTCCAACTGCTCAGATATAATTACCCAACATTGAAAAATTCTCCCTGTCTTTTCTCTCTGTCCAAACTTTTCTCACCGGCCTCGTCTAATTCATTTCAAATGTACTAAGATATTGACTTATGAATAATCACCGCTTCTAGAATCAAAGACAAATCACTTACCTAAGGGAAATTCTAAATGAACAGGGGTCGTGATAGGCCTTGTGAGGCGCCCTGTCAAAGGGCCATGTCACGGCTCCTGTTCTTGTAGCCCAACCCCTTGCCTAATTGTAGGAGAGTAATGCAATTTAGTAGTATTGATGTAACAACGGTCTATATGGCACCTAAGTGACTTTAAATGATAGGCACAATTAAATGTCAAATAATTTCATCTTTAATTGAGCCTATCACATATTGACACTTAGACTTATCTTTAAAAAAAATGTAATTTAAAAAATACAATTCATTTAAGAATTCAGAATTTAGTTCATAACTTAAAAACATATGAAAACTGAAATTTTGGCTTTTTCAACGTTGACTACTTCAGCCGGTTTTAGAGTATCAATTTGGACCCTCGAATGAAGTCAAAACAACGTGGAAATTTCATAAATTTAAAGACTAATGGCTGAATTTGACCTTAAATTATTAGAATTCTAAACCTTGGGAAGATAAAAAGACTCAAAAATCGTAATGTCTTTGGTTAGATGTTGCAATTCCCCGATAGGAGTAGCGTTGGCATCAAAATGTAGATTGTTTTAATGTTAACGAAATTTGGCCACATCTCTGTCCATAATATAATTATGGACACTCAAGACAAACGTTAGAATGCAAGATCGTTGAACCAAAAGTAGGAAAAAACGATCATTTACACTTCATCTCTCAAGTCAAAATATAGAAAACGAGTATAAGATGACAATTTGACAAAGCTTTGTGCAGTAACGATTTCACTTACACTGACAAGGAAGTTTTGATGGGGTATTTATAGAAGCAAAGGATCAAAAAAGCGGCCCTTCCCACGGTTGAGTCATCTTTGACTCTATTTATTATTATGGTATAAGGTATCTTCAAATTTCGAGCAGACTCATTCCTGCACATAGGCTATGTGATAGGGAGTGGCCAACCTATGACACGAACTACTTGAAGTGGATGGTCTAACAAGGGTCTGTTTTCATCCGAACTATCTACAACATTTCCCTTAATAGTGGTCGACAGAAAAAAATGTGACCGAGGCTTTGATAGCCTGTCACAATGGCGGGCCCGAGGTGAAAAAATAATTTTTAAAAAAAAAAGAAAAAAAAGGTGGCCCCCTCCATGTTGTGAGCGTAGGTCAGCCTTTCTGTCAAAAATTTTCTGTCACCATAACTCGGTTCTTTTTTACCAATTGAAAGATACTCAGAAGAGTAGCCCTTATAAAGTTGTTAGCTTGACACGTGTCTTAAGAAGCCTCCTTGACATTTAGGCTTTGTTTGTCAAACCTTTATACCACATTATTTTTTCTATAGTACTCATTTTCAACCACACATTTTTCATTAAAATAATATATCAACATCAATCACTATTCCATAATACATTATCTACAAATAATAGGGCACAAAAACACCCCCTTAATGTGTGCAAATGGATCGTCCTTAACAAAGTGTCTTTGGTTTGTTGCTCAACGCTTAATCAACCTACAAATATGCTTTTCTTTCGGACCTAGTGAGGATTGTGAGGTCTTATGATCTCTGCGCACCTATCCTCGGCTTAGGCATTGTGCTTGTTGGCATCATGCACTCAATTTCACCTAAATGTTTCCAATGATCTGCAATATTTGGACTACTCAACCTTTCGCGGTCGCCTTCATCATGAGAGGGCTCGGCCTCTTCCCTCAACGTCGATCTCATAAATTGCCCGTGAAAGTTGTCACTGTTACGCCCCGATTATTTACGCCTCTATACCGAAGTGTCATCTCACCTCTGAGGCCCTCCGCAGCATCATTTATTCGGACCTGAAAATGACCCTTCCGAAGCTTCTCCGAAGTGATATAGCGATTCCTACTACTGATCTGCCGAAGCATCTCACCTCTCCTGGGTCGAGATCAAGTGGACCCCGGTTAGAAGATCCGCCACCAATTTGAGATTTGTCCTACACCTAAGGCTTAAATTGATTTAACGTCTCCATGAGGCAAGTTGATGTGACTTATCAACTTTATGTCAATTCAACTCAGAGGAAACAAACTGTCCGCCCCCTCTACAAACGCGGTTGATTGACACCTATGAGCAGACGCTTCATACCGTCAGATGTATACACGCGTTCCACATCCAACGGTTCATACCATTTATAAATACCCAAGGTTTTGCAAGAGGCAAAAGGTAATGAAACTCTTAATACACAGCACTCCATAACAAGTTTATACATTCTCCTCCCCCTTTATTGATTGATTTGTGTAGCCCCTGGGTACTGTTCCGACCATCTAAACCTAACTTGACCGTCGGAGTGTATACGGCTGCCGCCGCCCCCGTTGGTTCCGGTCGTGTGCGCCTAACTATTTGTTGATTGCGTAGGGAGGAATACGTGGAGTAGCTTTCAGTTGGCCACGTGGAGGGACCAATTTCCGAGGTCAACGGATTGGCACCGTCTGTGGGAAACACTCCCCATTTGAAGTTTTGCGTTCTCCATCGGAGAAGATACCGAAAAACCGACGACTAACCCTGAAAAGGGGGCATTCTTGAAAAAGAACAAAGTCAAGTTACAATCCAAGTTCTTACT